AAGGTTCACTATTGGGACCCTTACTGTTTAACCTATTTATAAATGGTATAGAGTTTGGGATTGACACCAGAGTTATGTAGCAGAATAACATCTTCACAGAATGTCTCCAACTTACAAGCAGAACTTAAAGTTTTTCTAAAGGCTGAAGGTTTTTTTACCTTCATGCTTTCTATTCATGAAGGTAAAAAACCTTCAGTCCAATCCAGCGATGTGTATGAGAGCTGAAGCTCTTGTGGGCCTCTCCCGTCTCATTGTCTGAGACACAGCAGCGGGAGTCATTGGCTTCTGCTGCTGTCAATCACAGCCAGTAAGGAAGGAGCAGAGGGCAGAGCCGAGCCAGGCTTTGTCTATCCCATAGACACACAGAGGTGGCTCATGAGCAAGCATGCACAAGTGCCCCCAGAGCAAGCAGTTTGGGTGGAGGGGCCAGGAACGCCAGCAGGGGAACCAAGAAGGGGAGGGTCAGGGCTGCTCTGTGCAAAACCATTAAACAGAGCAGGTAAGTATGTTTGTTATTTCTTTAAAAAAAAATTGACCCTTTACAAACGCTTTAAAGCATTGGACAACTAAGTGGAAAATGAGGTTTAATGTTGATAGATCTAAAGTTATGCACTTAGGGGCTAAATACATACATATGTTCTGCTGGAGTGTAACTAGGGAAGTAAGTGGTTGAAAAAGATCTTTGTGTTCTAGTAGATTATAGACTTAATAATAGCAAGCATTACCAAACAGCAGTTTCAAAGCAACCAACATACTTCCTTGTGTTACAAGATATATATACTCCAGAGAGAGACATAATTTTACCCCTGGATGCCCCTGCTACAAGGATAATGGGCCCTGAGAGAGAAGGGCAATCCAACTGATAAGAGACATGGAGGAGGTCAAGTATGAGGAAAGATTAGCTGAAATGAATTTATGACTGACTCTCTCTTGATAAGAGTTGATAAGGAGGATATGATCACCATGCATAAATACACACATACGTTGTCCATATTGTGAATGTGGTGTAGAGTTATTCACTTTAAAGTGGTCTTAAACCTCAGCAATGAGGTGTGAATGAAGCGTATCCTTCTATACTGTGCAGCTGCCTCTATTGAAAGCACTGAATGTGATTTATCTTTGCTGCCTCTTTGTTATCTGTATGAGTCACTTCTGAAAAGTATTCCTGAAACCAAGAGATAAAAAGTTGACAGGGAGAGGAGCTCAAACACACAGCTTGTGACTTTTATCCTCAGCTCTGCATGTTCTCCATGTACTGTGTGAAGGGATATACGTATGTAACTTCAGGTCCCTGTCCCCCGCTTTTTAGAGCTTAGAGATCCTGTGTAAACTCTACACTTTAACTCCTTGGCACAAGCCAAGCCAGCTCAGCGGGTGGGCCTTAAAGTTGAGTGGCCACATATATGCGACCCTGTATAAACCACTTACCATGCTGAGAGCATGCTCCCAACACAGCAGCCGGCGGTGATCACTAAGCTCCCAATGCATTCTTGCCATTTGGAGCTTTCCGATCATGTGACCACTGTGAAAGTCAATCACAGTGGTCACATGACCTGAATGCCCTCCTCCACCTCTCGGCATCTAGAAGCTCTTAAAGGGTCGGGAGATGTTAGCGCGAAAGGGTTAAATGGATGTAGAGGACAGATGGCAGCAGATGAACAGGTACAGCTTATGTAGTAGTATTTCATCTCTGATAATATAAATTTGACAACTTCCTGCGCTCAGAACGGGGCCCTCTCCCTATAGCTGCTAACACTTAATCTCCTACCAGTGTGAGTTGAATCAGTAAATAAATAAATAGTGCAGCGCTACATACTAAATAAACATATACATAATTAAATCAAATATTCAAATCAATAAATGTCTGTGCAACTGTGCAAATAAAGTGTAATCATAAATTCCACCATAAAACAACCAAAAGTGACCACGTGATAAATATATAGAATTAATAATAATAAATAAATATTCAAATCAATACTCATATATATGTGCAAAATTACAAATAAAGTGTGACACGTGTATTACACCGAAACAACAAAATATATAAACCACGTGATAAATATATAAAATTAATAATAATAAATAATCATATATATGTGCAAAATTGCAAATAAAGTGTAACACGTGTATTGCACCAAAACATAAAAGTGACAAAGTGACAAATATTACTTAATAAAGTGCAATCACTGTGTTCCCTAAACGGGAATATCCACAAAAGACCAAGTGACCTAATAACCTATATAACACAAATGATCAAAAAACCAACACTCTGTGTAAAAACTGTCCATATATATACATATATATATAGTGTATTTCGTAATCTTCATGCACGTGCCATCCAGTGTCCACACTGTGTGTTTTCCCAAAAATAGCTGCGATGGTCCCTCACCTCCTTACATTGACCCCACAGGGTCAGCTCGCTTTTGGATATAACCACCACTCTGGTTTATCACAGGATCCTCCACAGCGATGTATACTCTATACCCAGCTGCTGCTCCTCCGATTCCTCCTTTATAGAACTCTCAGGGACACCTTGCCTCAAGGGACAAACACCACTCTGTTGTATCTCAGGATCTTTCCAACTGCTGTATACTCTACATTCCTCTCCGGTTCATACATAAACAGAAGACTCCCATAGTGTAAAACCGCATTTATTAAATAGATTATACAGAACGATCACTACTCACATTTTACTTCATCTTTCTTATGACATATAAATTGCTCCTTCACCTCATGCTATGCCTGCCTTGCATGGGTAAGATATAGGGGTTTCAAATATGGCCGCCACGCCAGAAATGACGTCACCGCGCTTCCCAGAATCCTCCTCGCGCACCGACGCGTTGCGTCACGCTAATCACGTGACTTCCTCAGGGTCCTGAGGGAAGCAAAAGGAACACTAATAGTGTAATATTATCATGCCATTTTATTAGCTATGATGAAATATATATTACACTCACATTCCATGAGCAACAAATAGCCTTGTAGTAATAATGTAATAATGTAGTGTTCTCAGATAACCTCAAAAAGGTGATGCAGTATCCTAAAATGGATCCATAGCGCTGCTGGTTCGTGTGCACTCCACTCACCAGATGTGACCAGATGTGATGTCAAACCAAACAACCAGAAACCAGGAATTTAGTCCACATTTTGCTCCTCCTACAGGGCGTCCTGGTCTATGAGGGGTTGAACCTTTCCTATTACAACTATGGATCCTGTACTCTATTGAATCCTGGAAACATCTGTGAGCACATCCCACCAGAGAAAAGTGTTTATTGACTCTTAAGCCAAGAAGGCTAGGGGTCCACCTTATCTTGTGAGTGAGGAGTGCACAGGGGAGGGAGCACCGAGCACAACTTAATTGGAATTTGTTTTACAGCATGGGCCATTTCCATTGGATTTTTCAGAGCATGTGACACATTTATTGGAGTACACAAGCACAAAGGACTAGATATATGGACTTCATTTTGTAATGCTCTGTGTTAATTATTATTAACACTTGGAAGCTGATTGGTTTTTATGCAGAAGTTCCTGAGATTCTGAGTGAACCAGCTTTAGAAGAAAATAAACCCCAATGTTCATAAAGGTATTTATTAATTTTTATTTTTTTATACATATATTGAAAAATGAATAGTCAGAAAAATATAAATAAGGGCATGTGAATCCAAAAGGAATTTATATACTGAATAGTGTCTTTACAGGTATTTACTGCATATAGTAACAGATACCAAAATACAATATTTTTTGACTGTAATTAACCTTTCATTTCCCCGCAACTGTGGTTGCAAACTTTAATTCCCAAGCTGCATATACAATATATTGCATTTTGGCATTTTTGAATGCACAGTTTCCAGCTTTGTTGTAGAAATCATTATCCTTCCCTTCCTCCACACGTTCTTTGCTAGGTGCATCAACATTAATAATAGTAATAGTTTGTATTTTTTTCCTTTCAACCACAATTTATATGTTCTTATACCTATCATCAAAGTCCAACACAGCCTGTATATTATATAGCAGAAAGTTTGTTCCAAACTTTTGCTTTTATCACCACTATTCAGCATACTACAATTACCTCTTTAGGATGATCCTTTCCCTTCCACCTCAGCACGTTCATTGCCAAACAAAAACTGTTCTTATTGTAAACAAGGACCAATGTTGCCCACATTTTTTTCTAATAACTGTATGTGGTTCAGGGGTGTGGACATTTTTTAAAAAACTACTTGCCCAAGTGACTAAATCGGGGTCCTAATCTACTTGTCCTGATAAAAAAAAAAAATAATAATTCTAACCAAGCCAGTTTTAGATCTGAGGTGCCTTTATGGTGACTTAAACTTTTAATGTTTTTACATTGCGCTGTTTATCTCCTCCTCCCCTCCCTGCCTGTCTCCAGCACCACTCAGGGACTAGCAGGGAGGAGAGAGACCTTGCAGTGTGATAAGAACAGATTGAGTGCTTTTCAGGAAAGGGGGTGTCAGGCTCTCTGAACCTCCCTAGCGGTCTGATTATGTCAGTATTTCTGTGGTCAAAGCGGTACATTGTTTTCAACGGACATATGTTGTTTTTTTTTATTGTAGGCCTGTAATTCTTAGGAATAACTCACTGAAATCTGTCCGAACAAGAGTCTAGTAAAAAAAAAAAAAAAAAAACATCCCGGGTATGATAAAATTTGAAACACGAAATCATAAATTGTAATTTAATAAATAAACCTAAAAAATAATAATAATACATTTAATTCAATAATGTAATCAAACCAAAAACACTGAAATTCGCACATTATTGACTTTATTCGCAAAATTGTTTTCCGTGTCTGATGACGAATTTCCTCACGAATCATCACTCAATTCTGCAAGTGGTTCTAATTTACTATCGCTGGTCTCTAGCTAGTCGAAAACCGCTTTTGACCTAAAGGGACGCTTTTTGGACGCCATGGACATTTCTCAGTTTCAAGGCAGAAAGAACAGTAAAAATGCAGGCAGGGCACAGGACAAAGCACTCGGGACAAAATGTATGTGAAATGGTTTGATACAGTAATGGAATACTATCAGATTTTAGTGTATTGAGCAGGTGCGGACTGACTATTTGGAAACTCGGGCACTGCCTGAGGGCCCGGGGTCAGTAGGGGGCCCCATGAGATGCCCCTGGTACCTTTTTCATATGCTTTTTTGAGTTTGGGCAAGGACACAGGGGCCCCATGATCCCCTATTGCCCAGGGGCCCCATGAGTTGTCAGTCCGCCCCTGGTATTGAGTGAATGTAAAATTTTTACATTTTTGAATTTACGCCGGTTCCATCCCCCGTACGTCCCAACGCTCGCAGGGAATGGAACCCGGAAGACGGATGTCGGCATCGGCCGGAGGACATGGCTGGGGACGTTGCAGGGGGGACATCGCGGGAGCGCAGGACAAGTTAAGTGTTGGAGGGATCCCAGAGCAACGCTGCAGGGTAATCCCGAGTGTAGCTCAGGGTTACCGCTTCTGGTACTGAAAGTTAACCCTGAGCTACACTCGGAAATACCTCCAGGAGGGTTAATGTCAGCAGAAGCAACTGCAGGTGTGGGAACATGTTACATGTTCCACCCTAAAAACAGGTAGAACATGTAACACGTTCCTAAAAGGTGAACATATCCTTTATCTCTTTCGCTGCCAGAGCTGTTTTTGCATTTTTTTGCACACATGTTTAGAAAAAATTATTTTAACCCTGAAGATTACACAAAACCCCCAAAACATTATATATTTTCTGAAAGCAGACGCCCTAGAGAATAAAATATTGGTAATTCCAATTTTTTTTATTCCACACTATATTACCACAAAGGTCTCGGAAACGCAAGATTTTGGTAAAAAAAAACACTTAAGTTAATATTAGGGCACAAAAAGGCAATAAATGACCCATTTTTGCTAGAATATAAAATATGAGGTTGCACTGAGAAAGTAGATACCCAACATGGCAAACCTTCAATTTGTGTGAGCTTGAGAAAGAGTGACAAGCGTTAGTACCCTATATTTTTTATAGGCGGCACTTTTAAAGCCCCTTATAGGTCATCAGTTTAGTGTTACGAAGGAGATCTAGTGCTAGATTATTGCTCTCATTCCGACATGACGATGTGTAACATGTGTGTCGCAATTGATGTTTTCATGCGTAGACGCCTGACGTGTGCATTTAAGTTCATATGTTGAGGGGGCCTCAAAACTTGTGGGGAGGAAGGGGTTATTTGTTTGGGTGTAACTTTGTTTTACAATTAAAAATAATTTAAATGTTAACGCTCCTAAACACTTCTAAACACTTCTAAATGCTACTAAAAAGCACTTTTACCTATGTTTTTTTTTATCCAGCATTTTTCCAGTGTTTTTTGAGCTTAAAGAAAACGCTAGTGTGCATGGAGCCTAAATGTATTAAGGTGCCTGAATTTTGCTATATTAATGTCTGTAGACATTAGATGTTTTCTAATGATTTCCTATGTGTGTACTGCCACAAAATAGGCGCATATGTGTTCAAATGTGGGAATGCCAAACAAACATAGTCTCTGAGCAATATAAACTGCCAGTTTAAAGGAAAATAAACTAGACTACAAATAGAGAGTAATTTGTTACAATCTGTCAAATATAAAGCCTAAGTGAAACAATGATAGAACCTGAATGTTAGTTAATAAACTCAATCGTACAAACGCCATGCACAGCTCAGTGGCACCCTACATGCTTTCCTCGCCATCAAGTTAATACAAGATGCATTATTTATTAAGCTTCAATCAGTGGTGAAAGTCTGTGGGATAAAATAAAAGTCTGTAAGTTTCTAAGATGCAAGGATTTCAAAAAGCTTTAGTTTTCCTCACTGGGCTAAGTCTTCCCAAACAAGCATGCGTAGTCTCAAAGTACATAAAACTGACACGTTTAGTGAAGTGCTTGCCTTTAAAGGGTAAGTGTACATTTAGAACAAAATGCAGCACATGTACCCCCTACTGTCCTCAGCAAATAGCTGTATCATTATAGAGACTTCAGATGCAGGAGGAACCCAATGCTCTCTTCTCTATATCCTTCCCATGTTTTCAAGCCTCCCTGCCAGACACCTTGTCAGCAGTGCACATGCTAGGAGATGGGCTTGCCATTACTTTCAGGTGCATATACATATACATTCTAACAAATAACTACACATAGCACTGTTTAAAAAGTATAAGGTTTTTCTTAATCTTTTTCTCCTTGTTCAAAATGTAGCCTACAGTCCACAAACAGAATATATATCATATTTATAAATGCAAGAAATACAATCAGCCTGTTCTCAGTTCTGTTTTTCCCTATAGTTTGCCTTTGGCTTCTGCCATATTTGGCCTCATTTATGAAAAAAGGTTCAAAGAAAGTGGGCATACTGTCTGTTGGGATCAATTCAGCTCTTTTAACGTAGGCTAGAAGCTGAAATCGTACATCTGATTATATTTTTTTTCTTGTTCCAGTGGTTTACATTGAGTTCAGTATTTTATCCCTATATTTGTCAACCAGAAACACTGTAAATATTTGAAGTGATACTAAAGGTTCACAGTTTTTTTTTTTAAAATAACAAACATGTTATGCTCACCTGCTGTATGCAATGGTTTTACACAGGGCAGCCCCAATCTTCCTCTTCTCAGGTCCCCCACTGGCACTTCTGACCTCATCCCCATACTGAGTGCCCCCAGAGCAAGCTGCTTGCTCTCGGGGAAATTGTGCACACTTGCTCTTGTGCCGCCTCTGTGTGTCTATGAGACACAAAGAGTGCTGTTTGGCCCCACCCCCTGCTCCCTTCTCAGTGGCTGTGATTGACAGCAGTGGGAGCCAATGGTGTGAAAGAGCTGCTTCTCTTGTGTACAGCTCTGGATTGCGATCAGGCTCAAGAAAGTATTAGGGGTGCTGAGGGGGGAGATACACACTGAAGGGTTTTTTCTAAGTATGAAGGTGAAAAAAAACCTTCAGCCTTTACAACCACTTTAAACTAATAGCTCAATCAATCATGTTCAACAGGGCTGCACAAGTGAACAAACTGACATAACCTATAGCTACCTCTCAGATTTTAGTTTACTCTAAAACACATCACATAATTTTTTCTGATTGGTGGTTATGGTTTACTACACTAACTGAATACATTTATGAATGAACTGATCATAGCAACCTACATTCCTTACAGTAGTGACACATTTGTTGTTCCTTCCCAACTGTCCATTACCAGATCCTAGTTGTTAATTAAGGTGGGTGGCTTTTGAGTTGAAACCTAAGGTTCATAAGGTTTTGGTGTGTGGTCATTGAAGCACAGGATCAAGAACCTGAAAACAATGCAGGCCATGTTCCATTGTATAGCTAGAAGCAAAACAGCCAACAGTGTTTAACCTCCTTGGCGGTATGATTCTTTCCGATTTTTTGTGCTGAAAGCGGTACCATTTTTTTGCATGGAAATATGTAGTTTTTTATTGTAGGTTGTAATTTTTAGGAATAACTCACTGAAATCTGTACGAACAAGAGTCTATTAAACATTCCGGATATGATAAAATTTGAAACACGAAATCATAAATTCTAATTTAATAAATAATCATAAAAAATAATAATAAATTTAATTCAATAATATAATCAAACCAAAAACACTGAAATTTGAAATACAGAGGCAAATTCGCACATCGCTGAGCAAAGTCGCAAAATCGTTTTCAGTGTCTGATGACGAATTTCCCCACGAATCATTATCACTCAATTCTGCAAGTGGTTCTGATTTACTATCTCTGCTCTAAAACCGCTTTTGACGTAAAGGGACGCTTTTTGGACGCCATGGACTTTTCTAAGTTTCCAGGCAGACAGAACATTCAAAATGCAGGCAGGGCACCGGACAAAGCAGTAGGGACAAAATATATGTGAAATGCATTGAAACAGCAATGACAGCAAAAATTACATTTTTCAAATTTCCCGCCGGTTCCGGCGCCCGTACGTCCCGACGTCACAGGGACCGGAACACAGAAGCCGATGCCGGCATCGGCTGGGGGAGATGGCCGGGGATGCTGCAGGGGACACATCGCGGGAGCGAAGGACAAGGTAAGTGCTGCAGGGACCCCCAGAGCAGCGCCGCATGGTAAGCCCGAGTGTAGCTCGGGGTTACCGCTCTTGGTATAGAAATTTTACCCCGAGCTACATTCGGGATTACCGCTAAGGAGGTTAAATAAATCAAATTTATACTCCACAATCAACCCAGAGCCAGTGGACTAGGGTGTTGGTTTATGGCAGTGGGGGCGCCACAGATTCCAAGTTGATCCAGGGATTACCTCTTGGGCAATCAGGAAGGAATTTTTTCCCCTGCTGAAGCAAATCGGATCATGCTTTGAAGGGTTTTCTTTGCCTTCCTCTGGATCAACTGTGGGTATAGGATTGTATATATAGAATTGTATAATTTTTTTCCCTTTTTATTGGTTGAACTAGATGGACTTTTTTCAACCAGACTAACTATGTAACAAAGCCTGCAAACTAAAATAAGATGCACATAAATAGTCCTGATTTGCTTGTGCAAACACCAATACAAACAGGGCTGCACAAGGACCTTTTTACCAAGCCAACAAGTGTCCTTCCATTGCTACTAAACACAGTTGATGTTATGCTGTAGAAAATCAACGCTATTAACCTACATCCTTGGTGTGCTGACCTAATTTCATAAATAGAGAAGTGTGCTATAGTTAAGGTGGTGGATACAGTACAAAACTGTCAGAAGACATTATATGCGCTCCACAGTGAGAAAGCTGAGGTTGAAAACCATTTATTAAGTGGATCAGGAGTGGTGCTGTGGCCAGGACAGAGGAAAAAGCATTACTAAGGCTTCATTGGGATTGTCAGAGAAGGACAAAAAGGATTCAAGTGGGGAAAAAATTTTGAAAAAAGCCTGTTTTTTGTAAGGAGTGAGAGAAATCCATTGGGGATAGAGAATCTTCTTGAGGTGTATCCATCTGTAAGGATTCTAGGGTGAAGGATTAACCAGCCTGCCAAGTTTCAGAGGGTAATTTATGAAAAAGCGGGAGTCTTATATGTGTATAAATAATGTAAATATCATCTAGCTAAGGAGGAGGCAGAGACTAGAAAAGCAGAGTAGAATATCACTTTTTATTGTGGGAATGGCTTTGAGTATTATAAGAGTACAAGGAGGCCAATCCTATGGATGCCAGGGCTGCAAAAGATGAAGATAATGGAAAAGAGATTACATCATACCCACATTTTCCCCCCCGGGTGGACTAAAATGGATGGGGCACATGTCTCAGAGAAGGAAAAAGGTGGCTATTATGAGTATAGCTGAACTGGGTAATATGATGTGAGGTTAAGCTACTCTCTGTTCTGTAAGAATTGGACAAGACCTCAAGGTGCCTTCTGATTTGAGGTGGGAATTACACTCAGGATACCCAGCAGGTTTGCTATGTGTTGACCAGGTCAGTTAACCCAAGGAGGTTTAACACAGCATGCATATCCTTATTTTTTTTAAGTAAGAGAAGGTGCAAAAGTGGTGCCATTGGTCCTGACAAAGCTACTACAAGTACCTTGAACAATGTGGGTTTACTAGAAAGTGCTCAAATTAACAGACAGCATCCTTGCGACTTTCAGTGAATATTATGTACTGGGTTTTCCAAGTTTTTTCAATGCAGTCATCCTCTGGAAGTGCAATGTAAACCAAAGGCCATTGGAAACTGTATACCTTGGAGAGTTGTGCTCTTTTTTTTACAATGTATTGCAAATTTCCACCTTGCACAGCTTCTACAAGTGTGCATACCAACAACTGTTGCTGTACAAAAACTGAGCTATCACTATTGTTAACTAATTGCCAGGCTAATCTCTGCATTACATTTTTTATACCTATACCTCTCACAATAGTATGAAAAATAATGGTGGCCAATATTTAACATCTGCTTTTCAAAACTTTTATACAAGCGCTAGTCAGGCAATGATTATATACAGTATTTTTCATGTCTCGACAAGTGCATATATTATATTATATTATATTATATTATTGCAAACAACTATTTACATAGACTGGTGTCCTAAACAAGTTCTTTATATTTAATCTCCCTGCCATTGTAATACAATTATGCACACACATTATATTTCAATGTTTTTATTAAGAGTAATGAACAGTAAGAAATGTCACATAAAGAGTAACATGAGTTTCTTAAGGTGCCATTACAATAAGAATGAGAATACATTAGTGATGCCTAGAAGAACAAACCAGAAGACCTTCAGACAAAGAACCTTAATACAGAGGTCCCTCTGGTATACAGTCTAGGCTATATGCATGGTGAGCAGGCATCTACAAAAAGGTCAGTGAACATAAATTTGATCTACATTGAACCTAGGTAGCATCAAAACGTATTACAACATTTGTTTTGAAAGGGGTGTTATAAACAGCAATTTGAGCAATATGTGAATTCCTAAGAATTCCTGGAAATGGCAATGTAATAATAATTGAGTTGCCAAAAAGATGAAGAGGAAGTCAGAAACAAAGAAAGAAGAGATAGAAAGAAAGAAAAAGAAAGGAAAAACTAAAAAGAAGAGGATCAGCCAGGGGCTCCCTAAAAAACAGACAAGTATTGAATGCATGGGTCCCATGTTTTGTCAGATGTATTGGTATTTTTATGGAGGATACAGATACGTTTTCCACCATGATCTAGATAAGCTTACTTTTGACATAGTCATGTGGCACCTATGCACACACATTAGGATCTACTAAACTGAAGCCAGTATTTTTATCACTGTGTTCTGAGTTGTGGGAGGAAATACATGCAAATACATGAAAAAATAAAAGGTTTATGATGATAATATTCTTTTGAAGAAATAACCTCAGGATTTAGTGCTGCAATACCAGGTAGCTAACCACTTAGTCATCATTCTTCCCAATATCACTTTATAAAGGGGTTCAACCTTATTCTGGATTCTGATGTTGAACAGGTCTGATATGCACTATATGTAGAAACATAGAGGTATAAATCAGAGTAAGACATAAAACTTAGATGATGCCCATGCACTTTACTATGGCAGAGAAAAATGAAACTGAGACTTAAACATGAAGATGGTGTTAACGCAGGCATTATACAATCCTTTATATTGTCCCACTAGCAGAGTCTCTTAACCCTCTTATCATGAACTGTAGTGAAACTTTGCCACCTCCCTTTTTTTTGTAAAGCACTGCAGAAACTGTTGGTGCTAAATATAGTTACATAGTTACAAAGTGACATTGTTAGTCTGGCTGAAAAAGAGACAAAAGTCCATCCAGTTCAACCATAAAAAAAAAAAAAAAATATTTGTGAATGGGTACCCAAAATTGAACTGCATATTCCAGATGAGGTCTTACTAATGACTTGCACAGGGGTAGAATGACATACCTCTCTCTGGAGTCTATACCTCTTTTAATACAAGAGAAGATTTTGCTCGCTTTAGAAACTGCAGCTTGGCATTGCATGCCATTATTAAGCTTGTGATCTACCGGAACTTCCAGATCCTTCTCCACCATTGATTCCACCAGCTGTACCCCCCCTAGTATGTATGATGCATGCATATTCTTAGCCTCCCAGGTGCATAACTTTACATTTATCAACATTAAACCTCATTTACTACACAGTTGCCAAATTAAACAGTGCATTGAGGTCGGCTTGCAAGTTGGAGACATCCTGTAAGGACGTTATTCCACTGCACAGCTTGGTGTCATCTGCAAAGACTGAAATAGTATTTTTATCCCAGACCCTATATCGTTTATAACTATATTAAAAAGTAAGGATCCCAACACTGAACCTTGGGGTACACCACTGACAACCCTAGACCATTCAGAGTATGAATCATTAACCACTACTCTCTTAATACGATCTTTTAGCCAGTTTTCTATCCACTTACATATGTATTTTTCCAAGCCTGTAGACTTTACCTTACACATTAGCCGTGTGTGGGGAACTGTGTCAAATGCTTTTGCAAAATCCAAGTATACCACATCCACCACCACCCCTCTGTCCAAGATTTTGCTCACCTCCTCATAAAAAGAGATCAGATTTGTTTGACAACTTCTGTCTTTCATGAATCCATACTGTCTGCTGCTTAAAACTTTTTTTTCCAGCAATAACACTTTTGTGTGGTCTTTTATTAAACTCTCCAGTATCTTCCCAACTATAGAAGTTAAACTAACAGGTCTATAATTACTTGGTAAAGATTTTGACCCCTTTTTAAATATTGGCACCACATTGGCCTTATGCCAATCCAGTGATACTATGTCAGTCATTGAAGAGTCCCTAAAAATTATAAACAATGGCTTTGAAATGACAGAGCTCAATTCTTTAAGAACCTGTGGCTGTATGCCAGGTGTTTTATTCACCTTTATTCTGTCTAAATATTTTTGGATCATATCAATTGTGAGCCAATGTGGATCATCTGGAGCTGTATCAATACCTTGTGCATTATGGACATGCTCCTTTGTATACACAGAGCTGAAAAAGGTGTTTAATAAATAGGCCTTCTCTTTGTCCCCGGTCACCCACTCTAGATTATTTTGTAAAGGGCCTACATGCTCGGACCAGACCTTTTTACTATTAATATATTTGAAGAATTTTTTTGGGTCGGTCCTGCTATCTTTTGCAATCTGTCTTTTGCTTTAAATTTTTGCGACCTTTATTTCCTTTTGCATATTCTGTTATATTATTTGTAATGTTTAAACAATGATAGCGTTCCTGAATTTTTATATTTAATAAAATCTCTTTTCTTATCTATAGATTTTTTAACTTTGGCAGTTAGCCACATAGGTTTGATTTTTAGCCTTCTAAACGTGTTGCCTATGGGAATATATTTTGCAGTGTGTCTTTTTGAAGAACTCCCATTTTTGTGTTGTGTTCATTGATGCCAATATTCCCTCCCAGTTATAGTCTTGGAGAGCAGCTCTCAGCCTTGGAAAATTAGCTGTCTTAAAATTGAGCATTTTTATTTTTTCCATGTGTGCTTGCTGTTTACAGCTAACAATACAGGAAATCATGTTATGGTCACTGCTATCCAGATGTTCTTTTATATGGACATTCATATTAAGCTCTGCATGGTTGGAGATTACCAGGTCCAGCAGAGCATCATTCCTAGTTGGGGCCTCTATGAACAGTTCCATAAAATTGTCCTGTAGTAGGTTTAAAAATTTTTGCCCTTTAACTGTTCCTGAAGTACCATTAC